CCCCCCCCGCCCATTCCATATCAGTGTGGCCACAGGGGCATATTCCTCCTTGAGGCCAAATGCAGCATCGGCCTGACCCGAGCAGAGTCACATGGGCTGACAACATTTTGTAAGGGCAGGAGGGTGACAGGCGCGTTCCCCTGCTCTTCGGGCTGTGTTGTGTCGGGGTTGACCTCTGGTTTTGGTCCCTGGCAAAGTCCCCAGCAACCACTGGTATGCGGGTGCACCCCTGGGAAAAGGCACCACCAGCGGTGCCTCCGGGTGGTCGCTGCTCACCACCCTTCCCACCCCTCGCTGCCGACAGCACCGTCAGCGTCTGCGGGCGGTCCACGATCACCGTTGGCCTATGCTGCCGGTGGTGTCTGCAGGTAGTCGCCAACCACTAGTTGGTGTTCACCATCCCCTCCATTGCTGACCGTGCCATGGCCGCCTGCAGCAGCTCCCCACTTGCCACCATGCTCCTGCTGCTGACAGTGCTGCCCGTGCCTGCGGGAGCTCACCGTGCCCAGCCTGCCTTCGGGGGGCACGCGGCATTCATGGTGTCAGGGTTGACCTCTGGCTTTGGTCCCAGCATGGGCACTGGCACCCCCCAGGCAAAGTCCCCAGTGACACCCAGTGCCTCTAAGGGAGGCTGAAAAACAATCTGGCATATGTGGCAGAAGAGATGGGAGGGCAATGACCAGCAAAGCGCAGAAGTGCAGGGAATACCTGGAGCAGAACAGAGGTGTAACTATAGTCTAGAGGTCCAGGACATAACAGCCAGGCACAAGGATCATTACTCTCACTCATTTATTTATTGATTTGATGTATAAGCCTCTCCTCCCAACAAGACATGTGGAAGGAAGGCTGTTCTCTGCAGTTGCTCCTCAGCTCTGGTACCTCATCCCGCTGGAGGTCTCCCTCAAGGCAGTTTACAGGAAAGAAAAAGCCTCCTAAAACAAGGGGACAACATCACTTCTAAACATCAAGCAGTGTTAAAATAGAATATACCACTGGCTCCCTACTTTCCTGTATTCAATACCCCCACCAAGCTTTGCCTGCTAAATGCTTGCCCACATAGGTAAGTGTTATAGCCCTTTCAGGTGACGGTCTGGCTCTGGTAGGCCTCAAGAGCTGCATCCAGGCAAGCATGGCTGTGTGGTACGTATGCTATGTGTATACATACTGCATGCTCTGTTTTCCATGCTGCAAGGGAGCGATGCGGAGGGGTTTTTTTTGACTCCTAGATATCCAGGGGCTAAAAAAACCTGTGGAGAAAAAAAGCAGAGCTGCATGCACCACCCAAAGCCAGAGCCTGGCTGGCTGGAGCTGCAGGCACATGGCCCAGGGGTTCCCCAGGGACAAGTAGCAGTGGCACCTGCTAGTTGTCCCCCAGGAACCAAACGTCCACATGTGTGGCCATGGCCAAGGGGGACACAGTTCCAGAGCTGAGGAGCAACTGCTGAGAAGAGTTTTCTGCATGTTTTTGCTGAATGAACTTGGCACATTCATGGTACTCACATTGTTTACTCCTTACTGAACTTGGAGATTGCTGAGGTCCTTACAGTTTTTCATGTGCCTTGTGTATTGCCAAAGCACTGCCAGTACAAAGATTTTTTAAAGAAAACAAACTACAGCATATACAGCTGTAGTATGCAGTGCAGCCAGAGCTGCAACTGCTGCCACCACAACTTCCTCATGCTCTGGCCTACAAGGAGCCCTGTGACTGAGATCCAATTTAGGGAACAAGGTGAGTAGGATACCCCACTGTATAAAGTATGAGATTAGTCTGATTAATTCCCTACATCCTCATAATCTCCTATTAAAAGCATTTATATTTTAAATCATGTGATTGAACATCTTAGAATAAATTCCATCAATAAAAAGAGAAACTCAGAGCTGATATTTTGCTTTTCTGGGGGGAAAATCAACCTTGGTACTTATTGTAGTACATACAGAATGACACTAGATGGAGTTAAATTGCCAAGTTTGATGATCTGATCCTGCTCACAAAATTAATAGATATTTTGCCAGTGACTACAGAAACAGCCTTTGTTAGGTCCAGGTTATGAAAACTGAAGCAGCTGTGATTATAATTTGTGCGACAGGTGCACATTTTACATCCAAACAACTAGCTATTGTATTACGTATTGATAACTGGACTAGTGATTTTGAAAATATAGGGGTACGTCTGTCTTCATTTTTAATCTGAGCTTTAATATGTTGTGGGGCATTCTGATTTCCAATGTCCTTCTTGCTTGCAATAATGACATTGGTTCCCATAGCCTGGGTTTTGTGGGCCCGAGGATCTATCTCTTCCCCTGAATCTACCCGGGCCTCCCCTTCCCTGTCCTTGTCCCCTTCCTCCACCTGGACCCTGCAACTGAGAAATCTGTAAGGCCATTAACTTAAACTCAGCATTGTCTTTAGACCGTTCCAATTTGTTATGAAAATGGTTAGCTGCAG